TATTGTAAATAAAATTAAATAAAATTTAATCATAAAAGAAAACAATGATCTATAAATAACGCAATATCGAAATATAATTAAAATAATTTTATTCATAGAATTCTATTTATAATGAGAAATTTTTGAGTGTAGTTTTTTGGTTCCGAAAATTTTCTTTGCATCCTTATTATTTTGACGTACAAACGCTTTGTGTTGAGCTAGTAGCAAATGGGTTAAAATAAATATTTTCATAAAGCAATTCCTAGAACGTTAAATGTAAACTTTTGTCGAAATCAGAAAAATGTTATTAAACATTTAAAGTCAGTTTTATGGCTGCAGTGGCGGAGCCAGTAAAATGTATAAAAGTAGAGGAGAGGATATAAATATGGGATAGCCATTGTTTTTTAGATGTAGAGAGTCTCAGAATAGTCATAAGTAGAAAAATTAAACAGAAATTTAGGGGATTTCATGCGGAATGAACTGTATAAATAAAGTTGTATACACTGCATATAATTTCTGTCTTTTCACTTACTCTAATTGATGGCAAATTCGGGTTAATAGAAATTCGGATATTAATATGAGAGAGTGTTACTTTTGAGAAAAATAAAGCTATAAAATCAAGATAGAACATCAATAATGATAAATTAAACATAACACAACGTCAAATATAATAAGATAACCATAACTAAGCGACGCGTTAATTTCATTTTGCCAATAAGTGGTATGATAGGCATTCCACAATCTGTCTTTACAATCTTTAGAAAATCTTTTATCGCAAAATATGCACATTTTATATGTTCATATGTTTATTACATTATTTAGTAGTAAATTTAAAAATGTAATAGAATTAAAATGCTACGAATCAAGTATCTTATATTTCTACCAATTTATCATTTCACTGTCTATTATCACTTATCATAATTAAAACAGAAATATTTAAAATATCCTTTGATATACTAATACTATGATTATTATACTATAACTTAGCCATTTTACTTTTTTAAAATTCATGAAATAAACCAAAGTAAATTTCACTTTAAGAAGCACGCATAGAAATTTTCTACTATTACGACCGAAAGCTATAACATTTGTTAATTAAAACAATGATATCTATCAAGAATGATTTTTATGGGAGAATATTTTACTCGTCATAATACTTGATATATAATAATCATTGTTAAAATTGTCAATGCTGCGTACGAGTTAAAACTTTGGTATCTCATATTTCTACCCTATCTCATATTCGTACCTTTTTCTCTACATAAGTACACCTCTTTTATATCTATTATCGCCCCCTCTCTGAATCTGTCATGACTTTATTAAAAAATCAAAGGATTAATGTTCATTTTGTGATCGTGGCATATTTAAGAGTTTTGATTTTTTTAGATCAACATCAAGACACAACATTATATTAATTTTCCAGTTTAGTGGTGAAACTATTAAACCGTTGATTGCAATGTTGGTCGGAAGAGTTGTAAAACCGCCAACCAGTGAAACGTGAATTTTACCCGACTATCGTGTTTCAAGGGAACAGGAGGAGCAACACTTTTAGAGAGTTCTTTTTCTGTTCTCGAATGACTCCGGGAATTGTCGATGCGAAAGTACTCACAAAAATTGTTTACGAGAACTTTCAGGTTGGATCTCATAATTATTCGACGAAACGGCTAACATGCCTACATGGGAAATTACATGTTGCTTCATAAGTCATTCAATCTCAGCTTAAAAAAGAATAAATAAAAGTTGATGAATTTAAAAAAGTTGATTTCTTAAACCTTACAAGATATGTACACTTTTCAAATACTTTATTTAAAATAAAAATTATTAATATAAAAAAATTGGCAATGCTGTAAACAGTATTCGTTGTTATTTTTTAATACAATCTTCAAATCAATTTACACTAGAATAATCCAATCGTGTAAAATTAAATTACAGGAATTTTTGTGAGATTCAAAAAATATTTGTTTCATTCGTTACGCACTGTAAAAATTGTATTCAAAAATTCTGACGAGTAACAAAGTTACAACAGTGACAGTCGCCCTCTTCTTCTACGATCATTATAATATATACCAAGTTTTTCTCTATTGCTCGGCAACAGTGAGGAGTTTCTCTGAAATCTGACGTGGTTGATATTTTCACTTTCGGTCAAAAATGGTGAGTCCGGAAATGGACTTCCGAAAATGGAAGTCCAAAAATAGATTTTCAGAAAGATCTTTCAATGCTGATTTCCTAAGTGGTATATTTTTTATTCTAAGACGAAGCATTTTCCTTAAATTTTTTTGTTATTCGTTATTTTATTCAACTTCCGGCCCAGACCGGAAGTCCAGTTACTCGACATTTTGAAGCCATTTTTATGCTGATTCTAAATATCACTTTCGGTTTTGTGTCATTTCCAGTCAGAACCGGAAGTTCAAAACCTTTACACGCACGGTTTCAAACCATGAGAAACGTAATACCGAAAACCATTTCCGTTTATTTCCTATCGTTTTTGTTCCACAGAAAGACAGACAGATGGACACACTGGAAAACCTATAGGAGAGAAACTCCAAAAATATTATCTCACATTCTGAAAAGCTTCTTAGATATATACCTAAAGGGATATTAAAGTATAAATTCTCAGTAAGAATGTCTTCTCTAACAATGTCTTCTCTTATGACAGAATTGCAAAAACTTTATTATGTTTATGAATTTAAAAACTTCAAAAACGAAAGTTTTAAAACCTTAGAATTTTGGAATTTGTTAATTTCAGACTTAAAATATTGGATTCTGAGAATTTTAGAATTTAATGGAACTTGGATGAATATTGGAGGAGGCCGGTTGATATTTTTGCTTGGTCGGGGGGCACTGATCATATAACTTTAACAATCTTTTTAGATAATCTACGGTGTATCACCTTTCTAATAAAGAAAGAATGATATCAATTCTTAAAGTAATTATTCTTGAATAAACTTTTGAAAATATCCTTCTTGTGTACTTCACAATGTCAAAGACATAATTGACAAAATAGTTATATATGCCAAATTTAGTTTATTGTTTTCTATAAAACTAGGTGTACAATAACTATTGGCTCTAATGTTAAAAATCAAAAGAAGATACTCTACACTTCTAAATTAATGTATAATACATTAATAGATACCTAAAATTGCAAAATATTTTGAAGTAATAAAAATTGACATTATGCAATCTTATTTACTATCTCGTTACATATTGTACAAGATATATTATACTTGTTCTTGCCGTCCTTTTGTTGTTACACAATTTACGTCGCTTCCTGAGCCGAAGCTATTGTTCAACGAAAAACGTGAAAGACCGGAACTTGTAATTATGACTAACACGTCTGGCGATGGTCTGTTTTGAAGAACAAAAAAAGTTGCTGTTTTTCTCATTACTGATTCATTTCTCAGAATGTAAATTATCTGGTAATAAACATGTTAAGTAATAAAAAAAACATTGCTCAAAACACATACAGCTATTGATCTTCGTTTTTATTAATTTTGCTTTGTTATAGGGGTATATGATCAAATCATGCAGTTCAATCTAATTATTCGAATTTACCTAATTATAATATAATTATAGTGTGAAATTAATCTAATTATTCAAATTTTATAATCAATATTGTTTTCAGTGGTACATTCTATGTAATTTTTATTAACGTCGTCTTTTATATTATTAATATAAATTTTTTGAATTTTGTTTCGTTCTGGTAGGAGTGCAATTTTTATTATTATTATTTTGTTTTGAGAGAGAGGAATCGTTATTGTCAATTGTAATTATTAATTGCGATATATTAATTGTTCTCAATTAATTCTCTCAAACGAGAGACAAATATAAATTGGTTACAAATTTTAGACTCGGAAAATTTAACAAAAAGTTCACAAAAAATTTCCTTCTTATCGCTCCTTTTACTAAAAATTATTATATATGAAAATACCAATTTTTCTTGTTTTGAACTAAATAATACATAATACAGTATAGTATCATAATAGAAATAAGGTACAAAATTTTTTTCAGATCCGCCTTTCAACTCCTTCATTTATTTAAAAATAATTATCTTAATATCTCTTTTGGTCCCCAAAATTGTCTCCTTTTTGGGTTGTCGCTCTATCAACTTGTTTTCAATAGGTTGATTGATGCAAGGGAAATCACCATGTGCAGTCGGACGCGCTTTAATAAAAACTGTCGAGTCAATCGTGATCCAAACGTACACAACGTATACAGTGATGCATTACGTCAAACTAGACACTTAACCTTCTAAATGCAAGATCTTTATATATTGTAAAAACAATGTCTGAAGAAATAGTTTAATCCTTAAATTGCGATTTTGGGTTAAACCCAAACTTACAAAACATATATCAGGAGATTAACCTAAAGTTAAATGAATAATTTTCAAATGAGAGAGTTTCATATATTGGAAGAATAATTTTTAGAGCAACAGTATAAGATTTAGAAGATGAAAGTAGTATGAAATGCTCAATTAAATTAAAATTAGGAATCTCCATGGTCCGCCATGCGAGGGTTAAAAATGTGTAAAATAAAAATGAAGTAACGTCTATATCTAAATTTTAATTTTCATCTCAATGCGCTGTTTTACAAAAATTTTATTTTTTCACTTAAATTTCTCGTTTTCTACCTTCCACTATTATTATCGTATAACTTAACAATATACTATTAGCAATTTTTTAACTCGCAAAAGATCCAAATAGATATTAATTATATATAAAATTGAAATATTCCGAATTCGGATGTTTAATATATTTTAAATTGTACAGTTATATTTTTGACGATTTGTGTTTTTTTTGTGAATATCTACATGCCTTAAAAATTGGAAATGACCTAAGCAAGTAGTTTCCATTTTATAAAACTTCAAATAAACTGAGGGACTATATCTAAATTACCGCTTGCGTAATAAATTTTGTTAGTGCATAATTATTGACTTAAGGGGTAAATATTTCTTTCACAAATGACCTCCATGGCACTCATGTTAACGCATGGAATTTGAAAAAAATTTTTCAAAAGTGACTTACCTTTGTAAGGTCGTTGTCCTTGTTATCCTTTCAAGAATGTTTCGCACTATTGACACCGAGGATCCTTGGCCCGTTCACGTTCACGATACGCTAGGAACAGGATCGTTGCTTACGGTACCACGATCAACACCAGACTGACCCGATACCATTCTCCATTGCAGTTGTAATATTCGAAAACTTCCACCACTTTCTTACCTTCCCTTCTTCCAAGTAGCGACTTATGGAAATGATCTGAGCGACTGTCGTTTCTTGCCGCTCTATACAAGGTGTCCTAGTATTAATCCTTACGCACTAAAGTATTTTTTTAACACTAGAACTACCAAAATGCCTAGGAGGTGGTGGCCAATGTATTGACACGCTTTGATAAGGAAATTAACACTTTCCTGAAATAATAGTGTTGTTTAAATAATAACGAACGCGTTGCCGGCCACCGTAAGGCGGCCGGATATAATCTAACCTAACCTAATACATCAATAATATTCACTTCTAATTGAGTTTTAATGGACATTTCTACCTTAATTTTTACAAATCTTTGGCCGAATTTTGTTAAAGTTATGGACTTTTATCACATTCGCCATTACGAGTTGGGAATTATATAAACTCGCCGGTTAATTTGATAAATATTCAGTAATTTATCACACCAGTGCAATAAACTCAAAAGGCCTATATATTTGGTTCCGCATAGAAAATTTAAGTTCAATAATTAAAAGATTAGTCCTAGTGCTAGATGTGCAAAATATAAAGGAATTATTTTAAACTACATCTGCTGGCCTTATGAGGATACCAAGTTTAGGTCGTAACAGGTAGAGTGCAAGCGATAATAAATGAAGATAAAAGAATATCAACTATGGATTCAACACACTGTCCAACGAAACATGGACATTATATAAAATGTCCGGGCCATTTGTGAAATACCTGCCCATTATACAATACATTGCTCAAAACATTGGGCATTTTATAAAGTGCCCGGTCATTTTACAAAATGGCCACGTTAAACATATTGCATACATGTTCAGATACATGTTCATTTATTACTTACAACTGAATTATATTAGGTATTAGGTATGAATACTATTAGGTATCACTGTAATGTTGACAAATAAGATAAAATTCAGAAAAAGGTACCATTTTTCGATGTCGATGCCTAGGTTTATTGTGACCCAAACTTATAAAATATATACAAAGATATTAAACAGTATACAATTTAAAAAGTAAAAATAATATGGAATATAAAACAAAATTAAAATTGGGGTTCTCTTCATGGTCTGCCGTCCGAGGATTAAAGAGTTATCAATAAAGGAAGTTTGAAAAATATAAGTATTATCGTCGGTCTCGAAAGATGTTGTATTTGAGAACGATGTTGTATCTTTCTTGTAGATCTTAATAATCTTGTTAGGTTATTGTTTGTTGAAATTGTTGATAAAGACAAATATAATATCTACAAAAGTATACAACGTTGTCTTCAGCTATTAGGTTTCCCGATATCAATATTAATACTTATATTTTTCGTTGTTTATTAAAAAGTTATGAAGTAACAAACGATTGTCAAGTAAAATCTTCACAACACTACAAGTAAAACCTTCACAACACTACGCGGATGTATATCTTTTACACAGATTGCAAACGACAGTAGTTATACTTATCTTGTTATATTTTTTCTTTTTTTAAGCTGCTTGTTAGTACACGGAAATAACATCTATTTGTAAGAAAAACGAGGTAGATGATGATTTGCTTTATGCTATAGAAACCATAGATATATTACTTCAACTATAATATTAATAAATTTAAAAAGAAACACATTCATATATTGTAAATATTTGTATATGTACACTTGTGTTATAAATTTTTAAAGCTTCTAAACAACCAATGTGAAAACAATTTTTCTTTTTTAAATAAACATTTTCTTTTAATTATCACACATAAGTATATGAGCATTATTATAAATATTACTAAAATTGCAACATATTTATATCATTTACATTAAACTGCATAAAATTCTATGTCTATTTTACACGCACACTTAACACATCATAGATTTCATAGAAATTGCAATTACACGCTCGTTTAATCTTCCTTCCGTTTTATGTTATACGTTATCTTGAATTAAGATATGTGAATAATTAGTCATCACTTTGATGTTAATTATACACCTACAGAGATACATTATCATTCATCGAAACTCTTTTTTTTAACATTGCCAACATTTTCTGAAGTTATAAGTGGTTTAACCCTTTCATCACTGAATATGTTTTTAATATATTTTTAAAAACTTTTTACATTTTCTAATGAAATAATGTCTAAAATGAATGAATATGTGCATTCTATACTTTGAATATATCCTACTATCCTGAACATGTCCTGGGACAATGTGTTCCAATAGTAAAATAACAAGAATGTTGTAATGGGACAATCTTCATTATATTTTACGTGTGATACAACAAAAAACATGCTATGCATAGTGGAATGAGGTCAAGATTACTGGAACACTCAAATAATACGCGGTTTTGGGACCGTAAATGATATTTGCTTTGGGACATATATGTCCCGACAGTGGTGAAAGGGTTAAGCGGAAACTAAAATAACTACATATACTCACTTATTACCTGCCTTGGATAGATTTTAAATACAAAAATGTGGAGTTAATAGAAAAAAAGTTATACCACATGATGCTTTCTGTTTAAAGAGCAATTTTAAGTGATTTCAGCCCTTCTTTCTTTTTTATAAAAGTATTTAAAATATTTGAATACGAAAAACGAAAGTAGATGCTCATTGCCTTTACTTCATAAAAGTGATTTAACTTCTTGGAAGAAAGTTTTACGAATAACCTCTTGAATAATACTTACCAAAAATATTAAAAGACAGGCGCTGTTACTTAACCATTATGTATCTATAATATAAGTATCAGAAGCGTTAGATCGGTGGAATATAGTTAAAAGGAAATTGATATCACACTTCTTCATAAAGCATAAAAGGGCTACACGTAGGTAACGTTCAATATAATTTGGTTTATAAACAATTATATAATTTTTCAATTTAAATTATACAAGAGAATCTGCTGAATTCGCACACTTGGTTTTTAATGAAACCGGAGATAATCTTCAGAGAAATATTTAATACTTTAGTACCAATTTTCTGCATTGAAGCGGTGATAACAACTCTCAAAGTTGAGGGTTAAAAATACATTTGTAGAACAATTCAGAAACTAAAGATTACAAAATAGATATTTGTATTACTTTTTCTGTGAACAACTTTTAGTGTAAAAATAATATAAGTAAAAAGAAAACGTGGGAAAACAAAGAGAAGAGGAAAAGGGTAGGAAAAGGAACGTTCCTCGATACAGGAGAGATCAAATTTTCAAAAAGCTATCTTTTGTAATGAACTTTCTAAAACTAAACGAACTAAAACTTGTTTGAATCGAGAAACTATTTATTCAAAATAAATAACTTGTCATTTGTATTATTCTTCCACTGGGACCCTCAATTATCAGTAATAATGGAAATAATTATTCACTCGTAGCAGTGATCTTCTCTTTGAAATTTAATGACAAGCAGGTCTAAAAGAAAGTGATTTCAGTGTTCACGGCTATGTAACATGGGAAACTTAATGACAGAGAATTAATGATGGGATAGAGATACATATATTCCTCGTCTTACATAAACTTCCTTGTTTTCATCCTTCATTTTGACTCATGTTTTTGGAGATATTAATGCTTCAAATTTTACTACTGTTCAACGAAAATATATTAAATATTAATATTTACGTTCAAAATTTGCTATTGTAACGTCCCAGCGGTAACATAATTCAAGAATAAATCGTAATATTAAATTAAGTCGATAATTATTGTATTATAGTAATCCTTTATAGAATTAGATGACGTGCGCGCTTGCGATAAGAGTAGGGTAGTTCGCGTTAAGAGCAGGGGTGATCGGGAATCACGTACCGGGAGTCCAAAATTCGCAAGATTCCTGAAAGAATTCTATATAGAAAAAAGCGCATTGTCAGCAGAATTTGACTATAAATAGAGGCGTGCCACGCGGAGAAAATCAGTCTGGTTTCGACCACGTTCAGATCGACTTCGGTGGAGTGCAGCTACCACTCTAGCAATAGAGGAAAGGCTAAACTTGCTCAGTGCTGAATCGCCTATGCAGGGATATAGTAATAGAGTAACCCGCGCTAAATAAAATCTCTATTTTTAGTGACAAGTACGAGTTTCTACGGATCTACAGACACTCTACTCATGGTTCGCGATGTGTTCACTACATGTTGGTTTAGAGTTCGCTATCAAGCGTAAAGAGCTAGCGAGGAGCGGACCCAAATAGCACATGAATACGGCCTATACTACACATAGGCCGAGGTCTGTTCGTGTCTGAGGGAACAGTCCAAGTTGCTGTCTTTGATAATTTCTGATACCTAGAGTAATTGGTTGTTATCCAGTGTTGGCTGTACCTATAGTCTAAGCTACGTACTAATTTCTACTAATAACTACATTTTCTAATATATGTATTTTCATTTAGGGCGAATTCATTAAATTTTCTTTGTATTTTTCATCTAGCCCGGACTCATTGTAATATTATTCATCTTGTTTTCTTTTATATTTCTCCTTAAGGCTTAATCATTGTAAAAGAGACTAAGTAATTAATATCTTGCTAATTAACCAAACTTTTCAATCTTTAATAAATTAATCATATAAAGGGTATTAACGTTGGATTTTACTCCTTAACCGTACATCTCACGAACCTATAATCCCTGTAACTATATCCAAGTCATCTTCTCAGGGAACCGCTCTTCGTTTATGTCGGTGCAGTGACATACCTATTCTGGGACGTTACACAAATCATATTTACATAAATCATATTTATGTATTTTATAGATCAGTTTAGTAATTTTTACGATAGAGGAAGTTGCGTTTCCTCCTTCTACTAAAAGAGGATAGAAAGAGGAATAAGTAAAAACACCATTTTATCGTATTCTTTTTTATGTAATTGTAGGTATCATTTATTTAAATCTTAATAAATAATAAGTTTTCGTGTTTACTGTAATAAAATATATAAAAATATACAGGGTGTTCGACAACAGGTGGGAAAAATTTTAAGGGGTGATTCTAGGGATCAAAATAAGACGAAAATCAAGAATAACGAAATAGCGTTTGCGG